GGCAACAACCTTCTGGTTTTATTCAGGAAATGTTCTGTACTTTAAAGAATGCAAACCAACCAACCTGAGACACAAAAAGGAATAAAACAAAAATTTGAAGACAAAGGAAACCTAAAAAGAAAGTTTGAAGCAGATGTTTTTAATTAGTTCTTTTAGTGCAAGTTAAAAGTTTAATATATATTCAAAAGTTTTAATTTCTCATTGAGACAGAACAACCATCTCAGTATTAATTACATGAATCATAGTGACAAAAACACCTAGATGACACAAAGWTTAGTAAAACAGAACAAATGATAAAATCTAAAAGGCCTTACAAAACAARGCAGCCACAAATTATATCTGCATGAGATTATCCTTATTGGGTTTTTACTGCTTTTATATAAATATTTTGTGTTTTCTCTGCATTTTGACCTGACTTAGGAAGTGGGGAAAAAGTGGTAAWTTTTTTATTTATTATATTTTTTCTGTTGAAATCGAAAACTTTGGTCATTTATTCCTGTAATTTTATCTGTTGATTTTTTTTTCCCGTCAGCTTTGCCGTCTCCTCCTCACTCCGTCATGGCCATCAGAGACACGGACACCTCGGTGCTGCTGCAGTGGAAAGAACCAGAGAACACCTCTGACATCCTGGGGTATTATCTGTACCACAGTGAAGCTGGCAAACAGGACTGGAAGACTATAAATAACAAGCCTGTAACTAAAACACGGTAAAATATGTACAGGCCATGTTTTTTTTAAGCATAATCAAATATTTAACAGTGCTTTTTAATCAAGCATTTAATTAAACCCTTCCAGGAAATGATTTGCTGCTCTGGGTGTAATCTAAACATTGTATTTCCTCAGGTTTACGGTTCACGGCCTGAAAACTTGGAAGGAATACGTGTTTCGGGTGAAGTCTGTGAGCCGAGCGGGGAACAGCAGATATTCAGATGAGTCTCACCCCATTGTGGTCAAATCAGCTATCAGTAAGTACAAGCAGAGTGAAGATCACAGTATTTGGTAAGAATCTGATGTTGTTTTGGATTAATATCTTTAGTTATCACCTGCTTCCAAAAGATGAGGGTGGATGATAATGTTTTAGCTGGATCTGTTTGCGTGTCTGTCTGCTCCCTAAGTTTCTCACAAACCAATTTAATGTCACTTGCAGAAAGTAATAGAAACACAAACTTACAAATCCAGACAGAAGTTGGAGTCTTTGTTATTTCATTTTCTGCCCTAACAGGAGCCTCAACCTTCTGTAATTCTGTTG